TATATTTGAGAAATGAGACTTTTATCAGAGAAACTTTCTGTGTTTTTCCCCTAGTTTCCTGCTTTCCTTCTAATCTTGGCTACATTGTTTTTGTTTGTGCAAACCCTTTTTATTTTCATAATATCAAAATTATTCATTTTACTTCCCATGATCTTCTCTGTGTCTTGTTTGGTCATAAAGTCTTCCCTTATCCATAAACTTGATGGGTAAAATTTTCCATACTCCTCTAATTTGCTTATGATAGCACCCTTCATGTCTAAATCATGTACCTCTTTTGACCTTATCTTGGTATATGGTGTGAGAGGTTGGTCTATGCCTATTTTCTGGCAAACTGCTCTCCAGTTTTCTCAGCTATTTTTGTCAAATGGCGCCAAATTTTTTCAAATTCTTGCACCAAAAGCTTGAATCTTTAAGGGTTTATTATGTACCTAATTTATTCCACTGATCCACCGCTCTATTTCTTAGCCAGTACCAGATTATTTTCATATTTATTGCTTTGTAGTATAGCTTGAAATCTGATACTGCTAAGCTACCTTCCTTCATATTGATTTTTTTATTGATTCCCTTGATATTCTTGACCTTTTGTTCTTCCAGGTGAATTTTGTTATTATTTTTCTGTCTGCATTATCTATAAAATTATCTATATTATCTATAATTTTTTTCTACCTATACTATCTATGAAATAATTACATCTCCTGTCTCTCTGCCTTTGTATTTGCTTTCCTTCTTGCCTAAAGTACTTTCCTTCCTCACCTCTACCTCTTGAAATCTCTGGTTTCCTTCAAGACTCAGATGAGGCACCACCTTATCCTTGAGGCCTTTCCCATTTGCTCCATTGTTAATGTCTTCCCACTCTCTACAGTTACTTTGTATCAACTTTTTAATGTATCCAATGGTTTTATACACACACATACATGTTGTCTTCTCCATTAGAATGTAAGCCCTTAGAAGGCGAGGAGAGTTTCACTTTTGTCTTTGTATGTCCTGCACTTAGCACAGTTCTTGGCACATAGTAAGCTCTTAATATATGGCTGTTAATTTATATCATGAATACATTTGAAAAAATGCCAAATTTTATTAATAGAAGATTACATTCAAATAGCAGAATGTATAAATATGGGCATAATAATATATGACTTTCTAAGTACTATGGCTTTAAAATTCTCAAAAAAACCCCTTTTATACATCCCTAGTTGTTGGCAAATACAGTGTGTACCATTTATTGTCTTTATGTAAACAAAATGTAATTCTGCATCGCTTCTGTAAATTGTAGCAATGTTTGGATTTATTTCATAATTTTTATGTCTCATCAAAGTGATAAATTAATAGTAGTCTAATGAAAAGAGTTAGAAGCAGGATTAAATATGGAACTGTTCCTGGGTTCTAGTACATACTTTTATACTGAACTAGTTAGAGATTTCACTTCTTTGGATCTCTTTAGCTCCCTTCCATATCTTAACAGTCTGTCATTCTAGCTGTACTTTTCAGCATATCACATTCTGGAAAGAAAATTAAAAATTGTTTATGGGGCAGATTTTTAGCCTTATTTATTTTTTTTATTTTAGTCTTATTTTCTTGTGGATTTTTTTTCAAGGAGAAAGAAAAAGATTTGAAAATATCTTTTAGGCACCATTGAATTTTGATTCTTTTCTTTTCTTTTCTTTTTTTTTTTTTGGCTAGGCAGTGGGGTTAAGTGACTTGCCCAGGGTCACACAGCTAGTAAGTGTTATGTGTCTGAGGCTGGATTTGAACTCAGGTCGTCCTGAATCCAGGGCCAGTGCTCTATCCACTGCGCCACCTAGCTGCCCTGAATTTTGATTATTCAATAGAAGAATGTTATAATAGAAAACTATAAATGGTCAGATAAGGGAACTGGATTTTAAAAAAATTGAATGGCACATTGAATAGAATACTATTGCCAAAATGCTTACCTTGGATATCGTGCTAAAAAATAAGATGAGGAGCGGGGCATGACTATGTTAACATTTTAGAAGAATTTATGCCTTAAATTTTGGAACCAGCTTAATCAAGTCAAGGAATTTTTCTGGTGCTAAAGTCAATTTTTTGTTTAATAAAAAGGTTCCTGTTATTAAGTTGTCATATGTTGTGAACGTGTTACTGTAATGCTTAGAAGGACAATAAAAACGAGAGGTGGGTTTAAATTGACTATGTTGGTCCTGGTTTTTTTTTTTGTGTGTGTGTGTAGTAAATTTATCTTTTCTATAGGTTTTTTTTTTAATTTTAAGAAATACATGGGTTGGCAATTAAAATCTGTTAAATTTTATTAGAGTGTATACTAAATGTAACTACATCCTGCCACAAGATGCCGAGTCAGTGAAATTGTGTGGTATGGAATAATATCTCACAAGGCTCAAGTCTTTTGTTTTTATAGGCAAGTGAGATAATACAAGTAGTGAGAGAGTTTTTTTTCCTTAATAATTTTGTCATTTAGTATCTTAATGGTATATTGTATTATTGTTAGGAACATATTTCTTCTTTATAAAAGAACAAATCTAAAGGCATATTATCTCTTTTCGGAAGGAGATAATGAGACAACATGCCCTGTTTAGTCTGTGTAATCAGTTAAGTTGTTTCCAGAAAAGCTATGTCGATTGTGTTTGTTCTCTGCAATGCCGAATTGATATAATAGTTTATAAAAATTCACTTAACTGATATTGATTTACAGAAAGTCCTAAGTGACCTTTCTGATGCTCAGTATAATGGTCAGGATTGATTTTTGAGCTTCCTTTTTTTTTTTTTCTTACTAGTAAAGCTAATCTTATTTCTGTCTTTGTTTTTCTGTTCCTATAATGTTTATCTTAACCTTTATGGAATTATAGGCATTTAGAGGTATCCCAGTGTACTGAACACACAGATGCTATTGTACTTTCTTTTTATTTTATCAAAAATAGAATACTTGTTTCTGTGGTATTCTTTATGAAAGATAATCTTGAGAGACTAAGTTAGGTCTCTACATGTATGTCAACAATGACCATCATCAATTCTTGAGCTCTATTTGCCTTCTCTAAGTAACTTTAACTCAGCTCTGATTACAAAGGGATGTTATATTTGAATGGCTTAATATTTAAAGTCTTATTGATATATCTTATTTTTACATCATCATAATTTATGAATATAAATGCCTCCCCCTCCCATTTCTCCCAATCTCTGTTTCTTACAACAAAGAAAACTAGGTAAGCTGACACAGCAGTTATATTTGAGAACATAGGCAACAATGTCTCACCATAGCTTTCCCAACTCTCCAACACAAACGTAAAGGCACGCTTTCTCATCTTCACATCTTCATCTTCACTTCCTTGTATTTTCTCCTAGGTCCTTACAATACAATGACATTCAGCTTCCTTTTATGATTCTTTTTGTTTCCATTATTGTTATCATTGTATATACTGTTTTCCTGATTCTGCTTTTTTTCTCTGAGTCAGTTCACATAAGTCTTCTTATATTTCTCTAAATTCCTCATGTGTGTCCTTTCTTAATGTTATGATTCTGTTAAATTTACGTAACAGAATTGATTTAGCCATTGTCTAGGTGATGGCCATATACTTTGTTCCAAGATCTTTGCTGCCATAAAAAAATGCCACCATGAATATTTTGGTGTCTATTTGGCCTTTCTTTCTGTCTTTTACCTCATTGTTGTGTCTGTCTAGCAGCAGGATCATTTGAGCGAAGGGGGTGAAAAATGGGGTGGCTTTACTTAGATGATCCCCCATGTTTTCCCCAGTATGGTTGCATTAATTCATTGCTTCCTCAGTAGTATATTAGTGTACTGTCTTTCCAAAGCCCCTCTGATATTGACCATTTACGTCTTTTGCCATCTTTGCCAATCGGCTGAGTGTGCAGTGGAACCTCAGGGTGGTTTTGATTGGCATTTATCTCATTAATGATAATCTTTCATATGGTTGTTGATAGTCTGTAAAAGAAGAATTAACAACTCTTCATGTCCTCACACTGCTTATGGCTCTTGGTCTTACATATTTTTGTTGATTAACTGTATAACTTGGGTAGTAGATTTTTATCAGAGATGTAGAATGCAAGGATTTTTTCCCAATTGGAATTTTAAAAATCCTGGCTTAATTGGGTTTATTTTATAAAATTTTTTTTAAAAGTGATTAATTTTTACACCAAATTATTTTTTGAGTTCTTTCTAAATAATGGAATATCATATAAGTAATATTTTTCATTTTATGTTTTGCTTATTTTGATGGCAGTCCTTTGCTTATGTATTTTCTCCTTTTTACTAGTCCTCTAGGCCTCATCATCTATTTTTTAATATCACTCTGACCATTTGGCTACTATAGAACTTAATGTAGTAAGACAGCTGGCATAGTAAATATAAAGTGCTGGATATGGAGTCAGGAAGATGTGTATTCAAATCCTTAAGTAGCCATGTTTCTCTGGACACATTCCTTAAGCTCTCTGAGTGTCTGTCTCCTCCTTGTAAAATGAGAATAGTAATAATCTGTGATACCAACCACACAGGATTGTTGATATGATCAAATGAGCTAATGTATGTAAAGTGCTTTGCAAACCTTAACTGGCAATATAAATGTAACCTATTGTTATTACTTATGTCTATTTTAATGGCAACTGGGTGGCGCTGTGGAGAGAGTGCCAGCCCTGGAGTCAGGAGTACCTGAGCCCAAATCTGGCCTCAGACACTTACTAGCTGTGTGACCCTGGGCAAGTCACTTTACCCTGTTTCCCTCAGTTCCTCATCTGTAAAATGAACTGGAGAAGGAAAGGGCAAACCACTCTGGTATCTTTGCCAAGAAAACTCCAAATGGGGTCACAGTCAGATACAACTGGAACAACTCAACAGCAAAACCAAAAAATGTCTGTTGTAATGACTTTATTCTGTGAAGAACCTAAAATGCATATTTGACCATTTTCAAAACCAGATATCCAATTCATCATTCAGAATACATTTAATCATTTCTACTTTTTCAACTCTTAAGTTTTTTTTTCTTCTGTTTGTACAGCTGCTTTATTCTCGAGGATTGCTAACTGACCTTCTAATAAAATCAAGCGTTAGTCGATATGCAGAGTTCAAAAATGTTACCAGGATTCTTGGATATCGAGAAGGGAATGTATTACAGGTACTGTACTGATGGCAAACGATGACTCTGAGCAAAACCAAATTGCTCTTTATGGAGTATGTTTGAGGTGAAAGCAAGCCACACTCTGTCTTACAGACCTCCTAATTCCCATTCGTGGTGGTTAATTTGCAGTCTTACATTTCATGGCCTAGGAAATGCCCAGGAGATGATAAAAGTATAAGAACTTGTTCTACATCTGTTCTTACTCATTTTTGATGAGTTGTTTAGCAGCCTCATACAGGAGTTGAGAAAGTGTTAAGTTTCTCAGGCAGCTTTAGATGACATAAGCTGCCATTCCCCTCCTGTTTAGGATGGGAATGCCTTTGTCCTTTTAATGGCACAGAGAGCAACCTGGCAGAATTAAGCAAGGGAGCTCACATTTAATTAGCTCTGTAGTCAACAGAAACGCCATTAGAATTGATGGGTAGAAACAGAAAACAACCTGACTAGAATAGAAATTATTTACCCAGTTGTTTCAAGAAAAAAAAAAAAACAACATTAGTTTGAACACTTTGACCACTGGGAAGGTAATTTTGATATTAAAATAATTAACAGCCAATCAATGTAACAGGGTAACAGAGCTATTTCTCCACTGACAGATCATCCTGTTTTGCAGGTACCTTGCTCTAGAGCAGATGTTTTTAATAGCAAGAAACTCACCATGGTAGAAAAGAGGATGCTGATGAAATTTCTGACATTTTGTTTGGACTATGAACAGAAGCCTGAGGACTACAAAGGTAGTGTTATTTTATTAAACAGCATATACTGTTTATGGGGGGGGGGTGTTTTTTCCTAATTCCTAGGATTCATTCTTTTGAAGACTCTCATCTTTCAATATTTTTAATGCACTCAGTTTTAATTTTGCCCCTACCAGTTAAGTCCCTCCCAGGTAAAGTCCCTTGCCCTATGATTTTTCCCTTTCTGTGGGTTTGTAAATGATGACTTTATTTTATTCTGTTATTACCATTGGAATAGGGAAATACCATGGCCTTACATAGAGTCAAGAAGATCTGCGTTCAAGTCCTTTTTTTGTCATATATTAGCTTTGTAACCCCAGGCAAGTCACTTCAGCGCTCGGACTCTAAGTTACAAAGCAATGACGAATCTGGATTAGTAGAGACAGTCTTCATGCAAGATATTCCCCCCGCTGATTAAATCACCAAGTCTCTACCCCAAAATTAAAAATATGTTCATACATATATAGGATGTCCCAAAAGTCTTAGTGCACTTTAAAGCTTTAATAGCTGAAAGATTTTTTGGGCACCCTGTATAAATAGATAGCTATGTATTGCCTCCTTTTTAAAATTTTTAAAATTTTTTTGGGAATTTCCTTGTTGAGGTCCTGAACTCTTTGTATGACTCCAGTTTTTGTTCCAGAAAAAAAATAGAAAGAGGGTGGTGTGGGGGAAAGAATGTTGACTCAAGAATTAAGATGTAGGTCTTGTGTATAATTCCTTGTTATACCCTGGACATGTTACTTCTCATTCCTTCAGTTTCATAAAACCTAGACTCTATACTTGAATTATGTATTTGAAAAGTCACTCAGTCAGCATTTATTAAGCACTCACTAAGTGCTGGAGATACAAAGAAAGGCAAAAAAAAAAAAAAGGACAAGCCAAATAAAGACCAGTCCCCTTCTCTCAAAGAACTCACAGTCTCATGGGGGATACAGCACATAGCTCTGTATAAACAAGATATGTGCGAGAGAAATTGGATGTCATCTCAGACAGGAGGCATCATGGAAAGGGAAAGATTTCTTTCAGAAATTGAGACTTTAACTGAATTTTGAAGGAAGCCAGGGAAGCTGGGAGGCAGAGATGATGATGAGGGGAGAGCATTCCAGGCATGGGAGCCAGCCAGGAGGTGCAGTGGCAAGTAGTCCAGTGTCACTGGATCACAGAGTACATGGAAGGGACAGCTATGTGGCTTATTAGAAAGAACTCAAACTGGAGTCAGGATTCACATATAGCTCAGAAACTTACTGGCTGTATGACCTTGGGCAAGTCACTTAACTTTGTATTTATCTCAGTGTCTTCATTTAGAAGAAAGGAGGTAATAATAGCACCTACCTCCCATGGTCATTGAGATAAAATGAGGTATTTGCAAAGCACCTTGTGAACTTTAAAGTGCTGTAGAAAAGCTAGCTGTCATTATTATTATCCTAAAAAGAATGGAAAGGTAGGAAGGAGACAGGTAATGACAGGCTTTAAAAGCTAGAGGATTTTATGTTTGATCCTGGAGTAATGACAAGCCACTGGAGTTTATTGAATAGTGGGGAGAGAGAACACGATCATTCATGTGCTAACGTGATCACGTTGGTGGCTGAATGGAGGATAGACTGGAGTGAAGAGAGACTTGAGGCAGGCAGGCAGGTTCACCAGCAGACTGTTGGAGTAGGCCCAGGGTGAGGTTATGAGGGCCTGCCCCAGGGTGGTGGCTGTATCAGAGGAGCAAAGAAAAAGGATAAATGACTTGTCTGCATTCACATGACCTGCAAGGGACCAAGCTGACAGTAATATCCTGGGCCTTTTGATTCTGTCTTGTTTCCTCATCTGATCTGTCAAATGAGGGTTGCACTATTTCCTTCACTGTTGTTATAAGGATCAAATGAGGTAATATATCAAGTGCTTTGTAATCATGAAGTACTCTATAAATGTTAGCCATTATTATCAATAAAATATTGGTTTCCAAACAATAGACTTGGCAAGTTCTTCCCAACGTAGAATAAATAAATTTGAAACTTATAAATCTGTAATGAAAACTGGCAGAACATTCATTTAGGCTGGACTTTTTGAATAGACTATTTTGTGTAAGCACTGCAGGGCTTTTCCTATAGCATAATGTTGGAGATCATTCTGTGGTATAAGATAATTAAACGTGGAGTTCAGCTTTTACGACCATCGAATTCAAAACCTTCATCTGCCAGAAGGGAGAAGAGAGGGACCGAGATGACATAATTCACTATCAGATGTGGGACAGGATCCAGGAGTGTGATTTTGCCTGCACCACGGCCGCCCCCACTTTCTGCTCAGGGGACCATCAGATTCCTAGCTCCATCTTTGTAGGTAAAGTTAGCGTTCTGACAACTTCTCAAAATTGGAAAAATCACCCCCGTTCTATTACCCTTCTGTTGCCTGAACAGCTTCAGTCATCCCCTTATGCATTTTCTTAATCTCTCCTTTTCCAATGACAAAGCCTTACATTAGATCTGGGAGTTCTTTAACTATATTTTCAATAAACATTGCAATCAATACAATGTTTATATTTTGTTAAGGGATGGGATTTCCTGCCTTGAAAAATCTATTTACTGTGTACCATATGTTCTTGGTTTAAAGATGAAGAGTTGTTTAGAAAGTTACTAATGTTTGTGTGACTATCAAGCAACAAAATTCATTCCACACACCATATGCAGTCTTGTTACTTTATAGTAATGTTGTGTGTTATTAGCTTTACCACGAAATAGAGCTTTCCTTTTTTTTAAAGCCTTGGTGAATATTGACTCATTTTCATTCAGAATTTTTTTTTCCTATGGAAGTTTTATATTTTTAAATGTATCTATTGGTGACACTTCACAGTTTTCATGAAAATGAGACAGACTTTTTAAGAAGGAAGAAAGGATTTGTGGAAAGATGTTAAATTCTATTTGCTTTGTCAATCATAGAAACTTAGTGCCAGTCATATTCAGACTGATCATTGCTGTTTACCTGGACTCAAAACAACAATGACAACTAATTACTTAGGCTATTTTTAAAAGACAATGACAGCTCATTTCTCAGACTCTCTTAATTAGGAAGAGGCTTTTTAGGTCTATTATTTCCATGTGTGCATTGCTGATTCACCAGAAGAATAGGAAGGCCTACATACCTCTTGCCCATGGTGACTAAAGAAGCCTTGACCATGGACTTGAGTTTTTGGGTATCTTCCTTCTCAAGGACAAGGAATTAGAAACTTAATAGCGCATATATAGCCAGGGTCTGGTTAGTATGAGTAATGAATCTTTTGAAGTGATTGCATTATTGGATTTTGTATTGTGTATTTCCACTGGGCTGGAGCCAGTGACCATATTTTATAGAATTATAACTTCGAATAGTACGAATTTAAACATGTGCCTTCTCTACAGGATTCATTGTTTACACTGATCAAGACATAGCTATAACAAACTGTTTTCTTGACCCTTATTTGTGTTTTTATTTGAACAGTTTATGAGGAATGTCCTTTTTCCGAATACTTGAAAACTCAAAAACTGACGCCCAGCCTGCAACACTTTGTCCTTCATTCCATTGCAATGACATCAGAGGGATCCACCAGCACATTGGACGGCCTCAGAGAAACGCAGAACTTTCTTCGGTGTCTCGGGCGGTATGGCAACACCCCCTTCTTGTTTCCCTTGTATGGCCAAGGAGAACTGCCCCAGTGTTTTTGCAGGTAAGTCTGACTTGGTGCATTTTGTTTATGCCAAAGGGAGGACCATGACATGTGGGATTGCTATCAGATTTGGATGTGGGACGTGGAAGGAGCCATTCACAATGTGCCTTTTTGGCTTCCGCCTAAAGAAAAATAGTAGTCTAAGAACTTGGAATTCTTAAAATGATACTAGGAAAGAATTGTATTATTCTCACCAAGGACGGGCTGAAACCCGTGCAAAATTCTTACCTCATATTTGACCTAAAGGTGAACAGAGGATTTTGTTGTTAAATAAGTAGATTTCTGCATATGGCAGAATGACTTGTTTACCCACAAGGCCCTCAGTCCACGTAGCATTTATTAAGCACTCACCAAGGGCGAGTCACTGTGCTAATTGTGAACACAGAAAGACCGAATGGAAAGTAGGCTCTGTGCTCATGGCACCTACAGTCTATTACATGAAGATTTGCTCTCATGGAGCTGTTGCTTTTGGAGGAAGTCATGCCTCTACGCTTTCTGATTCAAAACCAGGGATCAAATGGAGGCCTGCAGTAAAGTTAGAGGGATCTACTCCCCAGTCACCACTTTCGTGCCCTCTACATGGAATTAAGTCAGACTAGAGGTAGTTAGGTGATGCAGTGGATTAAAAAAAAAATTCTGCTAGACTTGGGTTCAGGAAGACCTGAGTTCAAATCTGGCCTTAAAAAGTTAATAACTGTGTGACCTTGGGCAAGTAACTTTTAGCCTCAATTTCCTCATCTGAAAAATGGGGATAATAATAGCATCTACCTCACAGGGTTGTTGTGAGGACCAAATGAGGTAATATTTGTAAAAATCACCAAGTACTGTTGCTGGCATATAGTAGATGCCAAATAAGTGCTTATTCTCTTCCCTTCCCTTTCCTTCCCAATGTGGTACTTAGTTGTCTTACTAGTGCTGACCATTTTCCTATGGCTACTGTTCAGTTTGTATCTTAGCATAGTAACTCTACCACCACCTATACATCATGGCCTACAATTTTTATCACCTGCTTATCAGAACAAGGTGTTACCTGTTCTGTGATTTCTAACCACCGTTCTATATTCTGTTTTAATGTAAGCCTCTTTAAGCGTTGCTCACAACCAGTTACACTGTGTGTTCTCATCAAGGCTACTGTTATAAATGGCATGCATGCATATTTATGCGAATGATTCAAAGACATTTGTAAGTCACATCCTTCTATTCTAAATGACGTCTGCATAAGCAGAATAGCATTTTAGAACTACTTAAGATGCATCAGTGAATGAAAGCACTTGGGGGCTTTTATTAGTTTAAGTCAGTAGGTTTTTAATAAAGAAAATTAAACTGCCTTCTGTCTCTAAGTTCATAGGTGTGAATGGCAGATTCTGTTTTCAGAAATGGGAACATTGTAAGAGAGATCACTGACCCCTAAACAGTCTTCCAGTTGGCCCAAGTACTGAGTTTTCCCTAGTTTACTTTAGGAATTCATTTTTTGATGGAGCGGGCAGGTCTATTTCTTTGAAATCTATGTGTATTTAACTTGCAAGGTAAGCAGAATTTCACATTGGGTTGTACCTAGAAATCCGATATAAATCCCTTTTGACTAACTGATCTCTGTTGTTGGCGCTCTGTCATCTCAGCCTCTGGAGCTACTTCACATCTAAAAACGTTCGAACTGTGTTTTTGTGTGCTATGATATGAGGGGTGTTTGCGGGATCACACAGACTCTAACTTTTTCTCTCAGTAAGTCAGAGTGCCCAATGATCATCAGTGATCATGACTGCCTTGACTTCGGAGAAGAAGGCAGTGCTTCGTAGGTGACAGGTATAATAAGATCTAGTTTTGGTGTCTGCTCTAATCCCGCAAAGTAGTGAACAGATGCTGAGATGAGTGTTTATTTGTGCCATATCAGAACGGCGGATGCAAAGCATCATTAGAAAATATTTACTAGGTGTACATATATAAAAGGCGTTCTGCTGGGTGTTATAGAAGGAAGCAGGCACAGATGTAGCCTGCCTGGCAGGAGTTTAAACATCAGCACAATGGATATATGTAAACAGGTTATCACACATTTACAGTACCTAAAGAAACTACTTAATAAGAACTTAAGCTCAAAACACATAAAGTTTTTCATTCATTCATTCATGTCTAAACTCTTTGTGATTCTGTAGACCATACTGTCCATGGGGTTTTCTTTTCTTGTCAGGGATCCTGGAATGGCTTGCCATTTCCTTCTCCAGTGGATTAAGGCAAAAGGAGGTGAGGTGACTTGCCCAGGGTCACAAAGCTAGTAAGTATCTAAGGCCGGATTCAAATTCAGGTCTTCTTGATTCCAAGCATAGACCTGTATTCCCTGAGCCATCTAGTTGCTTCAAGAAAACCAAAATCAACCCCACCCTACACACAAAGGGGTGTGTGTGTGTGTGATAAAGATGAGAAGTTGCAGGGTAGCATTGTTAGAATCTAAAAGGCAAGCTATACATTCCTTTAATAATGATAGTAAGAATGTGAACCAACCTGAGCCATACCTAGAGAGGCCTCAGGATTTTGTGGCAGTCATGAGTTTTGAATTAGGCTCTGGACTACATTAGAAAGTGGAAAGCTAAAGAAGGTCCGTCAATAAACATTGTTAAGCGTCTGCTGTGTGCCAGGCACACAGTGCTGAGGATACAGAGAAAGGCAAAAGACAGCCCTTACCCTCCAGGAGCTCACAATCTAATGGGGAAGGCAACAAGCAACTATGTATACAAATAAGTTATTTTATATATGTGTGTGTATATACATACATATACACACACACACACACACACACACACACACACACACACACACACACACACACACAC